ATTAGGTTTTTGTTGCTGTCTGTGCCTCCATTAGGGAGATTCATCCTCTCTATTTTTCCTGTTTACCATTATCATTGAAAGTGAAATTAAGGGAAAATCCAAAATTTTGGGTTGTCCCCAGAAACATAATAGAGGGGAAATCTTCCAATGGGGATAATTAGTTCTGGTGACCTGAGGTGCTCCAAGGGATTCCTTTAGGTTGTTGTGTTTTCCTCTCACTTCCTGTTTTGGCTATGGGACAGGAAGTGAAGGTATATCTCCCCAGTGGGACACAGATTGAAAAACAGAATAAAAAAAATACTGTCAGGAGTTATAACGCTCCATTACTCTATCCAAAATGAAAAACAAGTTTTGCTTATAGTTAAACTTTAAGGCAAACAGACTGTGCACTTGGAAAATTGCTCCAGAACTTAGTAAATTAGATAAAGCTTCGCTTTACAAAAAATACCCAATCACATGCAAGGAAAATAAAAAAGAATGCATTTTTTTGCTCATAGTTACATAGTTAGTCTGGCTGAAAAAAGACAAAAGTCCATCCAGTTCAACCATAGAAAAAAAAAAAAAAGGTATAATCATATACCCACAGGTGATCCAGAGGAAGGCAAAAAAAACCCAGCAAAGCATGATCCAATTTGCTCCTGCAGGGGAAAAAAATTCCTTCCCGATCCGCCGAGAGGCAATCGGATATTCCCTGGATCAACTTTACCTATAAATGTTATCCAATTATATTCTGTGTATCTAAGAAACAATCCAGGCCTTTTTTGAAGCAATCCACTGAGCTGGCTAGAACCAACTCTTGAGGGAGTCTATTCCACATTTTCACAGCTCTCACTGTGAAGAAACCTTTCTGTGTTTGGGTATTACATTTCTTTTCCTCTAGACGTAAAGTGTGCCCCCTTGTCCTCTGTGATGATCTCAGAGTGAAAAGCTCTACACAGAATTCACTATATGAACCACTGATATATTTATACATGTTGATCATATCCCCCTATAATCTCCTCTTCTCAAGAGAGAATAAATTCAGTTCCTCTAATCTTTCCTCATAGCTGATCTCCTCCATGCCTCTTATCAGTTTAATTGCCCTTCTCTGTACTTTCTCAAGTTCCCCAATTTTTTTTTTTGTGAGTTGGTGCCCAAAACTGAACTGCATATTCCAGATGAGGTATTTACTAATGATTTTACAGGGGTAGAATGATATCTCTCTCTCTCTGGAGTCTATATCTCTTTTAATACAAGAGAGGATTTTGCTCATTTTAGAAATTGCAGCTTGGCATTGCATGTTATTATTGAGCTTGTGATCTACCAGAACTCCGAAATTCTTCTCCATAATTGATTACCCCCGTTGTACTCACCTAGTATGTATGATGCCTGCATATTCTTAGCCCCCAAGTGCATAACCTTACATTTATCAACATTAAACCTCATTTGCCACATAGTTGCCCAATTAAACAGTGCATTGAGGTTGGCTTGTAAGTTGAAGACATCCTATAAGGACGTTATTGCACTGCACAGCTTGGTGTCATCTGCAAAGACTGAAATGGGATTTTTAATCTCGGACCCTATATCGTTTATAAATATATTAAAAAGTAAGGGTCCCAACACTGAACCTTGGGGTACACCACTGACGACCCTAGACCATTCAGAGTATGAATCATTAACCACTACTCTCTGAATACGATCTTTTAGCCAGTTTTCCATCCATTTACATACAGATTTCTCCAAGCCTGTAGACTTTACCTTACACATTAGCAGTGTGTGGAACTGTGTCAAACGCTTTAGCAAAATCCAAGTATACCACGTCCACAGCCACCCCTCTGTCCAAGGTTTTGCTCACCCCCTCATAAAAAGAAATCAAATTTGTTTGACAACTTCTGTCTTTCATGAATCCATGCTGTCTGTTGCTTAAAATATTTTTTTTCCAGCAAGAACTCATCTATGTGGTCTTTTATTAAACTCTCCAGTATCTTTCCAACTATAGAAGTTAAACTAACAGGTCTATAGTTGCTTGGTAAAGATTTTGAACCCTTTGTAAATATTTGCACCGCATTGACATTACGCCAATCAAGTGGTAATTTGCCAGTCATTAACCTCCCTGGCGGTAATACCGAGTGTAGCTCGGGGTAAAGTTTCAGTACCACAAGCGGTAACCCCGAGCTATACTCGGGCTTACCATGTGGTGCGTCTCCGCGATCCCTCGATCACTTACCTTGTCCTGCGCTCCCGTGATGTCCCTCCTGCAGTGTCCCCGGCAATGTAATCTGGCGGTTGCCGGCATCTGTCATCTGGGTTCCGTCCCCTGTGAGCATCGGGACGTATGGGGAGACGGAACGGCGGGAAATTTGAAAATGACAAAAAGTGACATTCACTAAAATCACTAAAATCACATAGTAAAACATTACTGTATCAAACCATTTCACATACATTTTGTCCCTAGTGCTTTGTCCTGTGCCCTGCCTACATTTTTACTGTTCTTATTGCCTGGAAACTGAGAAACGTTCACGACGTTCAGAAAGCGTCCCTTTAGGTCAAAATCGGTTTTAGACCAGCTAGAGAACAGTGATAGTAAATCAGAACCACTTGCAGAATTGAGTGGTAATGATTTGTGGGGAAATTCGTCATCAGACACGGAAAACAATTTTGCAACTTTGCTCAGTGATGTGCGAACGTGGCGCTATATTTGAAATTTCGGTGTTTTTGGTTTGATTATATTATTGAATTAAATTTATTATTATATTTTTATTTTTTATGATTATTAATTAAATTATAAGTTATGATTTTGTGTTTCAAATTTTAACATACCCGGGATGTTTACTAGACTCTTGTTCGGACAGATTTAAGTGAGTTATTCCTAAATATTACAGGCCTACAATAAAAAAAATACATATTTCCATGCAAAAAAAATGTACCGCTTTGAGCATAGAAATATGGACATAATCAGACCGCTAGGGAGGTTAAAGAGTCCCTAAAAATTAGAAACAATGTCTTTGAAATGACAGAGCTCAATTCTTTAAGGACCCATGGGTGTATGCCATCTGGTCCAGGTGCTTTATTCCCATTTATACTGTCTAAATATTTCTGGATCATTTCAATTGTGATCCAATGTGGATCATCTGGAGCTGTGTCAATACTATGCCCAATATGGACAAGAGCTCCCCCATGCTCCTTTGTATACGCAGAGCTGAAGAAGGTATTAAATAAATTTGCTTTCTCTTTGTCCCCAGGCGCACACTCTAGATTATTTTGTAAAGGGCCTACATGCTTGGACCGAACCTTTTTACTATTAATATATTTGAAGAATATTTGGGTTGGTCCTGCTATCTTTTACAATTTGATGCTGGAAGTCATTTACTCATTTACTAAGTTCTGGAGCAAGTTTTTCCTTTAGTTATACTTCAAGTAAATACAAAATGTCTTTATAAATGTAAAGTATTGAATGCAAATAGTAAAAAAAAAACCTCACACATATATAAATACCCTTCTTCAACCAATTAAATGAATGTGATTTGTAATACTATTTTCACCAAGCTTGTCCCATACAAGCAGTTTCCTTTTGACTAGTATTCTAGTCACCTTTTTTCTTTTGTAATAATACCGATACTACAGGGACCGCACTGACTTAGAAATAAAAAAGAGAGGAAGGCGCTTCTAAGTTCAGTATAGACAATTTATTAATGAACAATAGATAAATAGCACTTACAAGATAAATAGTTAAAAAGACTCATCGTGTGGTGTAATAAGGTCCAGATGAGACATCCAGCTGTCCAGCAGCAAACTGTCTATAGGATCAGGAAGTAAAGCCTAGGATGTGTCTGTGTATCAAAATGAGGCTTGAAGAGCGGAGTCAGACATAAGAGGTGAAGGGGGCGTAAACACATTTCGGAGCATGCTCAGTAGGCTCCTTCTTCAGACCTGAGCCCCAATAGAACTCTGAAATTTTTATAGTGTGAAGGAAATGGGAGGAAGGCAAGTAGTTCCTGGGTCCTACGAACCTCCATGTTTTCCTACAATGTACAGGACTTAATACAGATATAAAAACAGAAATAAAAAAACACACGAGAGAATAGCTCTAATGCTTTTGGGTTAAAAAGTATATGAGTGTGTATGTAAATATATAATAATATATATCTAAAAAAAAGGGTATATTCGAAAGAAGGGAAATAGAAAATAACAATTAAATTAATTCTAAAAATGAATTAGAATAGAACAATGGAGGTGAAAATAAATGTTAATAATAATGAATAAATCAATGAGATAATGAAAAAGGTAGATTATGGTACCATATATAAAAAATGAATGAAAATAAATATAAAAGCAAAATTAAAAACAAAGTTAGAAAAGCGCATTTTAACAAATGGGCTTGCTATAATAGTATGTGAATTTTGTGTATCTCCTTATTATCCCTTTGTGGTGTACTAAAAGGGATTGTAGTTAAATGAGAGAGGGATGAGGAAGGGATATACCTTACTTTTTTTTGGCGGAAAGGACTACTGTGATAAAATACAAACAGCTGTATAAGGATATTTATAACCACCATTTGGAAGGAGGCGAATGTCTCTATAAAATGGAGCTTATTTCAAGCTCTTCATTTTGGTCACCAGGGGATAACACATCCAAGGTGTAGATCCAAAAAGTTTCTCTCTGACAGAGATGCAAAAAGCACTCTGACTTAGTAAGCTGGCAAATTTCTATGGTTTAAAACATTTTACCTCTTTATTAGTAATAAAAACTGGCAGGGGTCCTAATTCTTCTCTACTGCATTCATCCCACTGAATTTCAAATGAGATAAAATACATAATGGTTTCATAAGATAAATACTGCAGATTTCAATTAAATACCGTATATTTCGCTCCATAAGACACACTTCCCCCCCCCCCTAAAAATGGGGGGAAATGTCTGTGCGTCTTAAGGAGCAAATATGGAGCGGCCGGCCCTGTATTCCCGCTGCCGCCATGTCGGAATACCGGCCGCTCGGCTCCTCTCTGAAACAGAACCTTACCTGTTCCTCAGTCCAACGCTGTCCTCACAGTCTTCTCTCTCGGTGCTGGCATCTTTAGTGTGAACACCCGGCTGTGACAGCTTGCGGCTTCGCAGCCAGGTGCCCACTGCGCATGCGTGAGAAGCGCTGTGCTTTGTGAATGGTCCGGCAGTCTTCTGGGACCTGTCACGTGTCCCAGAAGATGGGGAGGAGGAGGAGGACAACTCCGTGGAAGTGGGAGCGGGTACCTGTCAAATTCAGGTACCCGCTCCCCCCCCTCCCCAAAGGTCCACAGTCTCTGGTCATCTGTAGTATGTCCGCAGTCTCTAGTCATCTGTAGCATGTCTGCAGTCTCTGGTCATCTCCTGTAGTATGTCTGCAGTCTCTGGTCATCTGTAGCATGTTCGCAGTCTCTGGTCATCTCCTGTACTTTGTCCGCAGTCTCTGGTCATCTCCTGTACTGTGTCTGCAGTCTCTGGTCATCTCCTGTACTGTGTCCGCAGTCTCTGGTCATCTCCTGTACTGTGTCCGCAGTCTCCCGTCATCCCCTGTACTTTGTCCGCAGTCTCTGGTCATCTCCTGTACTATGTCTGCAGTCTCTGGTCATCTCCTGTACTGTGTCTGCAGTCTCTGGTCATTTCTTATACTATGTCTGCAGTCCATTGGTTCAGAATATTTTTTTTCTTGTTTTCTCCTCTAAAACCTAGGTGCATCTTATGGTCAGGTGCATTTAATGAAGCGAAAAATACGGTATAGCATGCCTTATTTTAGTAGCATTTTTTGTGAATTGCAAACATTTTTTGTAAAAAATGCTATGAGCTATTTTATTGCAAATTTTAAAGGGGAAAATACCGCTTTGTGAATTAAGCCCAGTGTCTGTCATTTTATATAGGACGTACTGTCGCTGTCCTTTTTAAGTTTTAAAGAGAGTTGCAATTATCTCTGCTATCCAGATATCTTTTAGCTGGATAGAATGATTGATTTTTCCATTGGATCTCTTGTTAAAAAAAAACATGTACATATGAGAGTGCAGATTCCACTCTGTTCTGAAGCTTATGCTTTGTTTTAAGTTCATTTTTTTTCATATCAGTCAAGAAGTGTTTACCCAGATATTTTTTTCATGTTGAAGTGATAAGAGAACATCTGCCCTTTAAGAGTGAAGATGGCAAGGTTCTGGTAGTAGACTGTCAGTATAAAATGGAACAACCAGTAAATGTAAAAAGTACTGCCAATCACTGGACATAGGATTCCAGGGAGTTTTCAGGATATTCTGCATTTCATTTTAAAGAGGTTCTTCTCGCTGTGGTATGGAAAGTGGGGTGTCACTGCAATGGAATGGATTTGTTATAGCCAATAATATCATTTAAAAAACAAACAGGAATTGATTTTGGTAAAGCCAGTCTATAAATGACCTATATAATATAAAAGAGTACAAATAGATATGAATATATTAAGAATAGCATTAGAAATTGCCTAATCCTTCAGTTAAAACCCCTTAAAGAGGGTTTTTTTTATCTTCTGAACCTCCAAAACTCTAACCCCCTCAGATCTTTATTTACATCTTTATTATATTAAAATGTTTCAATACACAAACAGGGGAATTCAATAAAACATTAGTGCCAATTTTCTGGGGGGTATGACTACTTAAAATGTCCTGTGCCAGGTTTAAAAGGATTTGCTTCCAGTTTCTGTAGCTGTACTGAAACACATGGCAGATTCAGACATTACTTAATAACACCACTTTTTGAAAGTGGTTTTATGTCTGCACTAAATTCAAAATGAAAATGTCCATACCAAACGTTCTATCCTCAATGCAGCTCAGTAACTCTGAGCCTGATAAAATTATAGGCTAAGTGTTAGTCCCCAGCCACTGTGTTTTGTTGTAGGGTGGGTGGAGCCTGATAGGAAACTCCTCATCAGGTCTAACTCCCATGTGACTGACAGCAGAAAACAATAGCCACTGGGCAGAACAGTAGCAAAATGGTTAGCAATTCTGCCTGGCAGTAATATGGCCGTTAGTTTGAATCCCAACCATAGCCCTACCTGCCTGGAGTTTGCATGTTCTCCCTGTGCTTACGTGGGTTTCCTCTGCTTTCCTCCCATACACCAATTACACGGTGGTAGGTTAATTGGATCCTGTCTAAATTGGCCCTAATATGTGAATGTATGAATGTAAGTTAGGGACTTTAGATTGTACACCCCTTAAGGGTTAGGGACTGATGTGAATGTAAAATATATATGTAAAGTGCTATGTAAATTGACGGTGCTATATAAGCACCTGTAATAAACAATGAATAAATAAATATAGCCACTATTCAGCCCAACAGTGACCATGGAGTCCACCCATCACCAACTACTGTGAATCACATGGGAGGTGGACCTGTTAGGCAACTAGTCTCAAAGTCCACCCATTTAATAACTCAATTACACAGCTGCTGTGCCTTTCCAGTGGGTGGAACCTAATAGGAATCATTAGGTCCACCTTGCTTGTGATTTCCAGTAGACAGCAGCAGGTGGATTGCATAGCTGCTTTTGTATTGAATAGGCTATGCAATTTGCCTACTCCCTTCCCCTGTCAATCACAAGAGAAGTGAACCTGATGAATGCTTGTCTCTCAATGTTCCCCATCGGGCTCTTCTTCTGTTACAGTTCCCCCACATCAGTTGCTGTTAGGACACTGACAGTCTGTTTCCTAACAACCAATGAAGCTAATACACAAAACAATAAAAAAGTTAAAAACACAACAAACTCTCCTCCCATATCCCTATCCTCTCTACACACCAGCTTTGAGTTGGCCTTAATTACCTCCAGTTTTGTTATCTATGAACTGGATTTGTTTGCAGCCACACTGACACATTGTTAAAGTAATGCAAATAGGAATCCTTTGTTTTTGTTAGAACTGTTATCAAAACAGGTGGGTAGATATTTAATTGCCAGTTATTTTTTGTAAACTGCAACTGTAATAACAAAGTTTATAACCATGGCAATCACATTATCAGCATAGTAGACTGCTGAAATAAGCTTCATACTAGTCAGTCCATGTATGTGGTTCAGTACTGTCTATAATTTAGGAGAGTATGGCATAAAATATTGTGCGGCTCTCACACAAAAGAACACAATGATGTTACATATTATTTAAGTAAACATTATTCCAATAAAAACATAAATTACAACTACATGGAATAGGTAGTAGTCATGTACATGGCCTTCCATGTAGTGAAACTACATATCAGATACTGGAGCTAACAGTACCACAAGCTGGAACAGTCCTCAACAAATTTCCGAGATTGACCAGAGGAAAGATGACATCATCCTGCATCCAACCTAGCCAGTCCACTCTGAATCTCCTTTGTAGCAATTGGCTGACAAACTGTGTAACTCTATCTTTTCAAGTCTTGACAAGTAATCTTGACAAAGGGAAAACCACTCCTGAAATGCCCTGTCTGATTAATGTGGCTCACAGTGTCTATTTCTAAATAACTTACAAAGTTCCTAAGGCAATGTAATACTCATCTGTCATTGAAAGCAAACATGCCAAAAATGTAATAGAAAATTAATTCACTGTAACAGTAATCCAAATTTATTATGTTATTATAATCTTTATTTAAATTTGTTTAATTTTCAGAACATGATATCCATGGTGTTTAACATGTCACTCACCTATATCATTGCCAGTTTACAACTGTATAATTTATTTTGTCAGATGTTGTCAGAGTAGAGAAGGAACAAAAATCATGTTACTACAGAACTATTTCAGATGATGACCAAAACAAAGTGCAATCATATTTTCAACATTATTCATTGTAAAAGTTTGTCTTTATTCAAATTAACATGTGTCTTGTTACAAAACTGGATAATGAAGATTCCTTTGTAAAAACAAAGATATAAACGAACATTACATAAACTGTATAAATTAATTAATTAATCAATTAATCAATCAATCACTGCTTTATCAAGGCTGAAATTTCAACATTCTTACTATCTGCTTTTGTGTGAGAGCATAGAAACCTAGAAAAGTGAAAGTAGAAAAAAATAACAACAATTAATCCATCAAGTCTGTCCTTTGGTTTATTCATTTATTTATTTGTTTGTTTATTTTTTTACATGTTTTTGTTTGTTGTTTTATTATTTTTTTGTCTGATTATAAATTTGTTTGTCCCAAGCATGCTTGAATCCACTTACTGTTGACTGATTCGCTACCTCTGCTGGAAGTCTGTTCAGCGTATCAACTGCCCTTTTGGTAATGTAATGCTCACCCCCACAGGAGGAGGCTAATTACCACAGGTTCTTCCCCCAGATTAGTGCAGAGGACCCAGACACACAGCAACTCTCACTCATTCCAGCTCAATAATCAGGCTAGGGGTTGTTGTTTTTTTGGCTTATTGCTGAATAACTTGGATGAGATGAAGGGAGATATGCAGGGGCGGACTGACAACTTATGGGGCCCCCGGGCAATAGGGGATCATGGGGCCCCTGTGTCCTTGCCCAAACTCAAAAAAGCTTATGAAAAAGGTACCAGGGGCATCTCATGGGGCCCCCCTACTGACCCGGGGCCCTCGGACAGTGCCCGAGTTTCCAAATGGTCAGTCCACCCCTGGAGATATGGGATACTCCAGAAACACTATGTAGTAACTCTGTCAGTGTATGTAACTAGTCACTACAGTATGTCTCCTCAAAAAAACCTTTTACAGTAGGATTAAAGAACCAGGGCATATCAGAGCTGAGACTTTGTAAGACTTGTTTCAGTGCTAGCAACCAGTAGTACTTGTGCATAAGGGAGACAGCAAGGCAGTAACTGAAATCCTAGACACAGGTCTGTACTTACAATGTCCCTGGAAAACTAAATGCCTCTTTTCAATAGTTTTCAGAGATTCTCCAAAGTCTTTTCAGACCTGACTTCCATTGAAGTCCCTTGATTCACATCAAAGTTTCTCAGAAAAAGGCTCCCAGCTATGATCCAGCTGGGACCTCGATGAACACATGGACAGCTTAAGCTGAACAGCCCAGAAAGGCAGCAGCCCTTCAGGCTGGGAACATCTGCTGGACAAGAACAGCGCTGCCCTAGGCTCCAGACTATTTATGCACTCTTAAGCCACCTATTGGCGACCCTCTGCCCAACGATTGACCGATACAGCATAAATATTCCTAGAAATTCTGATGGACCCTCTGCCCATTGGTATATACCCTTTCGAGCAGACTTTGCAATAAAAAAAAAATAGGGATATTTAGATCATACAGATTTCATTCCCTGACGAAGCCACGTGGTTGGTGGCGTAACGCGTGGGGCAGAGCCTAGTGACGTCATTGCCGGTACACTTGCGGACTGGAAGTTTCTATGTCAAAATCTATCTGTATTATTCAATACCATGTGATTGTTACTCTGGAATATATTTTATTTAAAATAAATGGTATTATGCTATGTGAGTTGTTCCTTTCTTTCTACATGTGGAGTATAAAGCTGAGAAGCTTTCCGTATATAGTGTCATCTGAAGTGCTGCCTGTTATCAGATCTTTACTGCCATCTGGAGCCTCTTTAATGGAACTACTAAGCTTGCTGGACCTATATTAATTTATAGGTCCACTGTTTGAGGTGAGCGGCCATCCGTACCTGTAGGTGGAGGTGCATTAAAGTCATGTTGGAGCACTGTCGTTTTAGTTACAGAATTTTGGAGCACATTGCATATAATAAGCACCTTTTCAGGCACCATTGTCTGACTGGACTC